GCATCGCCTAAGCTTAGGAGTTCAAGACAAGCCAAGGCAACACAGCAAGATCCCGTCTCTTAAAAAAAAAATCAAAAACCTAAGAATAATATATTTTCCCATATTAATTTTAGGAGACATGACTAGGATTAAAAAACATTTTGTTTTTTGGCTAGGCCTGGTGGCTCACACCTAGGATTATAGGCTAGGATTATAATCCTAGCACTTTAGGAGGCTAAGTCAGAGGAGGATCACTTGAGGCCAGGAGTTTGAGACCAGCCTGAGCAAAAGTGATTCAGTCTCTACAAAAAAATAGAGAAATTAGCCAGGCATGGTGGCATATGCCTGTAGTCCCTGCCAACTGGGAGGCAGAGGCAGGAGGCTCGCTGGAGCCCAGGAGTTTGAGGTTGCAGCAAGCTATGATGATGCCACTGCACTCTAGCCAAGGTGACAGAGCAAGACCTCATCTCAAAAAAAAAAAAATTTTTTTTAAATAAATCCCTTTCTGTATCTAATTTCTTGATATCTTTTAACTAAAATAGTGAGCAAAATTAAATTTAGGTTTAAAATATAAACAGTGTTCCTGATGATCACTAAAATACTTACGATGGTCGATCCTCAAGAATCAGGGCAGTGGTAGAAAGTGGCTCAAATTCAAAATTCTTACGTCTTGAAGACTGAGGTGGTGGTTTACAAGTCCTCCCTGTTCGTGCTTCATATTCCTAGAGTAAATAAAATACTTTATGCAAAGATTGTTTCCATTTTCAGTGTGTATTATTAAATCTGTACCATTAAGGATATTATGCTATGATGGGGGATATATACAATTCATACATTAATTTGGTAAAAACATGAGGCAGACAAAAAATAAAAGTCAAGGTTTTTTTTTTCTGAAGCAACCTAAATTATGAATTTATATTACATACATAGTATCAAAATATGTTAAGAGAAAGAAAGATAGAAATGCACTGGATTAATTAGGTAAGGTTTTAGGAAGACATTCTTGATTGCCTTCTATGGTATCAGCTATCCAAACCCAGCTTTGAATAATCTACAAGCAGATAAACCTACTTTCTAAACCTTCAATCTGATCAATGATGGAAATGCTGAGACAAGATACAGATAATCCCATTATAATGCTCTGAAGATCTCTCTCAAGGGTGACACTGAACTTCTAATCAAATGATGGTTTTTGATTTCAATCTGCTATGAATCTACTTCAAATACAGCTACTTGCTCTAAATTTAAACAACACTTCACAAATACATCTTATTAAAAATATGGCCAAAGAAGGCCAGGCACAGTAGCTCACGCCTGTAATTCCACACTTTGGAAGGCCAAGGCAGGAAGATCATTTGAGCCCATGAGTTCAAGCCCATCCTGAGCAACAAGGTGAGACTCTGTCTCTACAAAAAACTTTAAAAAAAAAAAATTAGCTAGGTGTGGTGGTGCACACCCGTAGTCCCCGATACTTGGGAGGCTGGGGCTGGTGGATCGTAGAGCCCAGGAGTTCAAGGTTGCAGTGAGCTATGATGATCCCACTGTACTCTAGCCTGGGCAACAGAGCAAGACCATGTCTCAAAAAAAAAAAAAAATGGAATGCTCAACATTCTAAAAAAATATATATATACCTATGGCTAAAGACTGTCAAATATTTCACTAAAATTAAGAAACTGTTTCTATTGTATTTCTCTAATTCATCAATCTAACCTGATAGTCCTATTAAAAGAAATGAAGGTAATTTGGTATTTTTCTGTTGTGGTATTTTTGGAGACAGGGTCTCACTCTGTTGCCCTGGGTAGAGTGCTGTGGCATCATCATAGCTCACTGCAATCTCAGTATTCTTTCATAAATTTTCACAAACTTCTGAAATTTATTTCTAGAAGTTTACCAAAGATCAATAACAGGTTTACTGGCTTATAATTTCCAGAACCTACATTTTCCCCTTTCTAAAAATTCAAGATAGCATCTGATTATCTCCAGGTACCAATTATATTTTTCATGAAATTCTCAAAGATTCGTCAATGGTTTCATAAGCTATGTAAGCCCACTAGCAACTAGAGAAGACATTACTTTATATGAATAAAATGAAATGCACTTAAAGTGGTCAGATGTTTCACTTACTATTTACTTGACTATCATAGCCTATACCTCTTTTTATATCATTATTACATCTTTTTCAACTCAAAGACTATTTCTCCTTACTGAATCAGGCCATTTTAAAATGCAAACTGATGATTCCACACCTATTAAAAATCTGACTATCTTCTTGAAGCTTAATCTTCTTATTTGACATATTACCTTTAAAAAACAACTTATGTTAGCTGAGCGCCGTGGCTCACACCTGTAAACCTAGCACTTTGGGAGGCTGAGGAAGGAGGATCGCTTGAGGTCAGGAGTTTTGAGATCAGCCTGAGCAAGAGCGAGATCCCGTCTCTAGTAAAAATAGAAAAATTAGCCAGGTGTGGTGGCATGTGCCTATAATGCCAGCTACTTGGGAGGCT